CAAAAGCAGGCCTTACTAAAGATATGGAGGATAACAACTCGGGATCTGAAGTAGATGAGGAGGCGAGACCTTGGTCTAAGGGAGGGAAGTTGAAGATGGTGAATTTGGAGTCGGAGACACTTGGAATGATGGACACGACATCGCTGGCTAATGGACCATTACCAATTGAGCAAGAGATGGGACATGTTTTGGCAGAGGGATTTTTCACAGTACTGAAAGAGAACAAGGCTATAGGTTCGAGAGCCATGGTAGGGAACACATATAATAGAAGGCATTTTAAGCCCCTAAAAGAAAAGGAAATAGAGACTGACAAAATTGTGGTGTCGTGGGTGGATGGTGCTAAGCAAGGAGGCACAGATACGGATATTGAGCTAATGGAGGAAGTAGAGGGATATTCATGTGATCCTTTGGAGTTTCGCCTAGCAGAGGAAACAATGAAAGCAAATGTGAACGACGATGAACCCCCACCTTCGAATTGGGTCCTTCAAAAAATTCAGGATTTCAATAAGATGGTTGGTGTGTCATGCGATGGATATGAAAGTAGACTTCTGCAATTATTTGAGGAATTAGAAGGCAGTAGGGGATAGGGGATGAATATACAAGGGGCTAAATTAAGAAGAAAGGGAGATCGTGAACTTAAGCGGCTCGAGTGGTCAGTAAATTATGATGCCAAGGGTGTTGAGTCAAAGAAAGGATTGCTTGGGAGGGATGATAGAGCGTCTAGATGATCCCAAAAATAATCAGTTGGAACGTGAGGGGGCTCAATGAAGCGGGAAAAAGGATAGGTATACGAAATTTGCTTAGGGGATGGAGGGCAGACCTTGTTTGCTTACAAGAAACGAAGCTGGAGTTCATCTCGAGGGCAATCATCAGGAGTTTATGGGGGGGGGACAACATGTCGGGTATCAATATATGGGGTCATCAAGGGCTTCTGGAGGTGTGTTACTCATGTGGGACACTAGAGTTCTTGAAATAGAGGAGGTCAATGAAGGACTATTCTCTTTATCGCTTTCGTTCAGAAATACAGGGGATGGATTCCGTTGGATGTTTACAGGAGTTTACGGTCCTAATGTTGATGAGAGTAGAAGTGGATTGTGGGATGAGTTGGCCGGGATGATGGCTTGGTGGAACATACCAACGTGCATTGGGGGTGATTTTAATGTGGTTCGGTTTCCTACAGAGAGGTCTAGCGACGGGAGACTAACAGGGGCAATGGAGGATTTCTCAGATTTTATAAGAGAACATATGTTGATGGACATGCCTTTGATTGGAGGAGATTTTACATGGTCATCTAATCGGGATCAACTTGTGTTATCTCGAATAGATCGCTTCTTGATTAGTGGGGAGTGGGAGGCTAAATATCCAGAGGTCACTCAGAGGAGATTGGGGAGGATGTATTCTGATCATTTCCCTATTTTGTTATCGGGGGATATGAGGTGTAGTGGAAGAAGGCCTTTTAGATTTGAGAAGATGTGGCTTAAAGTAGATGGCTTTAGGGATCGAGTTAGGGATTGGTGGACATCTTATGAATTCGTTGGGTCTCCCAATTATGTGTTGGATCAAAAATTAAAAGGGTTGAAGAAGGATCTCAAGAGGTGGAATGGGGAGGTGGTGGGCGATGTTAATTGGCGTAAAAATCAATGTGTCCTAGAAATTGAAGAACTGGATAGGCGTGAGGAGGGTCTAGGATTGGATGCGGAGGATAGGGAGAGACGTGGAGTATTAAGGGGAGAGCTGGAGAGAGTGGTGGAGATTGCCTGGCGCCAGAAATCTAGGGTCACATGGTTGAAAGAGGGGTACAAATGCACCAAATTCTTCCATAAAGTCGCTAGTTCTAACAGGCGCAACAACTCTATCACCATATTGGAGGTAGATGGGATTACTTATGAGGATGTGCAAGATATTGGGAATCAAATGGTGAGATTCTATCAAAATCTCTATCGGGAAGAGTTTGACTGGAGACCAAAGGTTGATGGACTGTACTTTTCATCTATCACAGAGGAGGATGCCAGCTGGTTAGAAAGACCATTTGCAGAAGATGAAATCAAGGATGTGGTTTTCAGTATGAATGAAGATAAGGCACAAGGATCGGATGGCTTCTCGTTCGCATCTTATAAGGTTTGTTGGGAGGTGGTGAGACTGGACATTATAGATGTTATCACTTATTTTTTTGAGTACGGCAGGTTCATGAGAAGTTCTAATGCCTCATTTATTGTGCTGATTCCAAAGAAACCGGGAGCATTCGACATTAAGGATTTTCGTCCTATTAGCTTAGTTAGTGGGTTGTACAAGATTATCGCGAAGATCCTGGCGAATAGATTGAAGGAGGT